TTCCTGCTTTACTTAGAAAGCATCAAGCCCATCTCGCAATTTGTCCTCTCCCTTCACCCAAATGCTCGTGCAAACAGAACGAGTACAATCCAAGAAGCAGCAGTACTTCCCCCTCCCTGCAGCAGTGGCCCCAACTCTTAACACAATTTCAAGACACTAACCCTGTTAGAAACAAGCAGAGCTTTTACAGTACCTTGCCTTCCAGATAAAGAGATTTAATTACATTATTCCCTGGACTGTTTAAAACTTTTGATAATGAATGGACTAAGGGAGGCAGAATTTACATCTTTCTTAAAAGCAGTTTTATAAACAGATCGCCTGGATATTAATGTAGCTTTATTTAAGCATCTGAACATCAACAAATCCAGAGCCCAGTTAACATTGTTCATGGGTTTAGCATGTTTAGTGTATATATTTCTTATCTTACATCTGATGAAGAAAGCCACAGTGTGCCTTATTGCCCCAACATCCAAGGGATCACCGCAATTTGCCAAGCCAGGGCACTCCCTGGCAGCTTGCCGGAACCACTTTGGAGATGGCTCCAGCTTCCCCCTTTTGTACACACAGGAGGCCTCCAAAACTTTTCATGCCTCAGCTTGCAGCACTCCACCTTCGTGCCAGCCTGCTGGTCTGATGCAGAGTATCACACCCAGGACCTGCAGGTCCACGAGCCTCCTCTTCCTTCTGATGGAAAGGAGCAGACTAAGGTGTACTGTAGGCACCCCTTAACCACCCCACCTTAAGGACATGATTATCAGGAGCTATTACAAGTTATCTGCCTCTGACAGCGCAGAAGGTTGGGATTTTTTTTTTTGTCAAATAATACCAAACAGGTCAGACTTGTTTCAATAAAAACTGCTCTGTCACAGGGATCTAGAGGAGCTCAGTGTCCACACAGGATTCTCATACTGCTCCTTAATGCTGAGGGAATGAAAAGGGGAGGAAACAGGAGGACAGGTTTCTTTTCCAGCACCATGTTCAATCAGCATTAGCCTCTTATTTAGGTCAAGAGGTGTAACAGGAACTGACAGCTGTTAAGGTGAGGAGGACAACAGAAAAGAACCATCGAGCAGCTCTGCAGGCTGCGTTCATGGAAAACATTGGCAAAAACATCTAAACTTAATGCCAGGGGCAAGAGGTGCTGAGGAAACCTCAGTGTTCCTCTTACTGTCACCCCCAACCCCAGGAGAGACCCCGACACATTGATCAGTTGTATGTTCATATTTGATATGTGACAAGTACTAGGAATTTAAAAGCAACTTAAAAAAAACTTTAAAAGCCAGATCCTGAAGCAACCCAATGCTTCTGGAAGAGCAGATTAGACAGTCTGACTGCTTTTCATCCAGATCTCCTCCCCCTCGTGCTATAACCATCAGAACAGACTTCAGAACAGGCTAAAGCTCTGGAATGATGTCAGTTAGTGTCTCCAGCACATCAGCTGGAGAAGGATGCTATGTGATCTACTCATTAGCACAAGTGACTTGAAACTGTTAAAATAGTGCAATCTTAAATGAGCAGATAGAGTTTGGGGAGATCGGTTCCTTCTCCAGGGGCAGAGGAGAAGGTGTGGAGTGCAAAGGGGAAAAACAATTGATAAGAAAAAAAAAAAGTTCCTGCACTCAAGCTGATGTCTGAGATAAGTTTATCCCCCAAATCCTAATGCCAGCATCTAGATAAAATCAGCTGTCTGTATCCTATCCCACCCCACGGCAGGGCCCCGCTGACGGAATCTCAGAGTCAGAGGGGAACAGTACCAGCTGTTGTCAAAAGAGACGGAGGTTCAAGAGGTTTCCTAGTCTCTTGATCTTTGCTTGTAGGACACTGGACTCTCTCAGTCCCTGACACGTATAAGCCCCATTTGGAGCAATGCAGCAATCCCCACATTTCATTTTCTCCTCCATTCAAAGGTCATTTCTTCTCACCAGCACCATCCACCTCACCCCACTTCCTGTCCAGAAGAACAGCAACACCTTTTACTCCCCCTGGCCCTTGCTCAGAGGCCGACTGATCTGTCTCGATCCTCATCCTGATCCCAAGCTTCCCCCATCTTGCATCTGAGGCAAGAAGCTGCCTCATTCAGAGTCGTGTTTGTTCAGGGACTCGTTGGCTAGTCTGGGAGTGATCAGAGGGGAGAAAGGGAGGATTTGGGGAAAAGGGGACTGGAATGGCCTTTCGTTTCCTTCTAGTTGGTCAGAGGCTTTCCCTTCTTTCAGGGGTTCAAGCTTGCTCTTTGTCTGCCCTCCACAGCCGCTCTTTGACTTCCAAGGGCAGGGTGTTGAACAGGTCCTCCTCCACCACAAGCCCACTGCGTTTCAGCAGAGGACATTCTCCCAGCTCCACTGGCAGGCACTCCAAGCGGTTCCCTCGGAGCTCGATCTGCGATAGATTTGTCAGCTCTCCAACCCGCGATGGGAGTGACTGCAGCACGTTGTTTCCCAGGTGCAAGGTTCTCAGCTTCCTGCACTGGAACAGTTCTGGTGGGAGACTCTCAATCTGGGAAAAAAAAAAGAAATCAATCATAGGCAATGTCACCAGCAAACAGGACAGAGACCAACAAGCCCACACAATGCTTCAGGGTTTACAGAGCACTTGTTTTCAATCATCCTCTCCTCCCTTGAGTGAGCTCCTGCTTTCCACCATTAGGATTGTTCCCAAAATCAAAAAGTCAGTACACCACGATAGTACGGACTCCTCTTTCAGACACTCGACTGCACTCGTTACAAGAAATCACCAATTATGGCAGCTAAAGCAGAAGAGATGAGCAAGGAGAGGATCAGAGGACCAGAAATCCCCTCACAGCTGGCCTGTACTGCCACGCGCTCCCACCAGTATCAGCTTCTCTCCATCCCAAACCCTTTACACCCTAACTGGATCATAGCCCCTTTGCTTCAGGCAGCTGTTGCACAACTGGGGTTATACTGAGCACCACGAAGACTGGATTCGGTCAGGACTCCTCGTTTTGCTGTAATAAGAACAGAGGCTACACGGGGTGTGATCTCCAGGCCCTGAGAACTGGGACTGTTCTTCCATACAGCCCAGCTGCAGGGCTTCGAAATGTTGCAAAGACCTTCTAGGCTCCAAAGCACAGGGGGTTTTTTTTGACAGTACCAAAATACAATTTAATACTCTGTAGGGTTTCAAAATGCTGCAAAGACTAGACTTTCTAGGCTCCAAAACACAGGGGGTTTTTTTGACAGTACCAAAATACAATTTAAAAAAAGGGAAGCCACCAGCTGTTAGCTTTCCCACCACCACCTTCATGTCACTAATGTCATAAGGCTTATTTCTGTTAATGCCTTTCAATAGTCCAGTCCTCCCAAAGAATCTCTAAGTAAACAACATGGCTAAGGTTTAACCAACACTAGGCTATGAACTGAATGTAGCAATTCAGTATTCTCCCCTCAATTCAAAGCCTCATATTGGAAACTATCATTTGCCTTTAAATGCAACCCTGTCCTTTCTAAAACTTAAATTATGCATGATATCATTCGTGGCCAAATTAAACTGGAATCAGTTCTGAATGAGATGGAGTCTGAGGAAAAGCCAAGATGAGACCACACCAATTAAAGACAGTTCAATTCATTCGTCATTACTGTTACTGTCGAGTGTTTTGCAAACAGCAACACGCAATCAAATGATCACAGACTCTTGGAAATAGTGTTACTTAAGGGACAAGCATTGGTTTAGGAAGCAATGTGCTATAATGCAGCCTGCTTCCCAGAACAGTTCACTGGTCCCAGCCAGCTCAAGTCCCTGTTTGCTAAGACAGCCAGGCTAGGAGAAGACATTTGAGGTAACTCCTGGCCTTAGGAAATGCCAGCCTACCAGCCCTTGTGTTTCTTGCAGTCCCTGTTCACTGTAAGCAGCCAGGCTGTCAGAGCCCCAGGGCAGCCATGGCCTTGCCCAGGCATCCGCTGAGGATACCAACGGCTCAGCGATTTCCCTGGGTCCTCAGCACCTTTTGCTGCAGAGCACAGTGGAGCAAAGGCTGCTCCAGCCTTCCAGTTGCATTAGCATTCTTCCAGAGAGAAATGGGTGGTGCCACACCGTGCTGCAGGAAAGGGAGCTGCCTCCAACTCCTGTTCCCCCAAAACAGGCTCCAGCCCAAGCCTGCAGAGGACACATTGCAGATTAACCCTCGGGAAGCTGTGCTGGGAAGGCTGCCAGAGACAAATGGCACAGAATTATCTGAGTTCTGAACAGTAGCTTAAGAATCTTTCAAACTGCCTCATCTTTCCTTAATGCCATCCTCAGAAAGTGCCCATACCAGCCCCGCTTACCCTGAGAAAATATTTTGGGTTTTAACATAATGGGAAACGATGTGTGCATACCGTGAGGTTCACCAGAGCTCAAGCCACCCACACACAGGGATGCACGGCCATCCAGTCTGTTAGTGCTGGGACAAACTGGGACAGCCGAACGGCTGCTGCTTGTCTGCTGGTACTGCAGAGACACAATACAGACTTGGACTTTCAGACACCAACTTCAAAATGCTGACCGGAGTCTTAGGAAGGCTGTGCAATGCTGAACTGTATCAGCAATTAAATACTTGACGTGAGAGTGTTTCCCCTGCGAAAAGCCAAGCCACGCTGAGCTGCGCTGCCTGCCTCTCACAGGCAATCTGACAGTGTTCAGTTATGAATACATCCTGCCAATAGCAATAAAGATCTCGATACATGACAGTGACAACTAGGACCGCTCCAGGACAATTCCACTGCGTGTTCCCAGAAGAACCCAGAAGCCACTAATTAGATCTGTCTGCAATTTGTAGTTATGTTAGAGCCCTTTGCAACTACAGGTGGTAATAAACTCCAAGAGAAAAAGAGTCTCCCAGGAATTTGCAGAGTGAGTGAATGAAAGCTTCAACAAGCCATCTCAGCAGCCCAGCCTGCGCACAGACTGATCTGTGTAATACATGGTCAGCTGAGTCTCCTCCATCCCAAACACACACACAAAGATTCAGGAAAAAACATGGGTATGGTTTGCTTTAACCAAATAAACACCCTCCAGCACAAGCCAAGAAACAACTTGTGGTCATCGGGCAGCAGAGCAGACTTGGCTGTTCCCTCCAGCCTGCCCTTGGACTTAGACTTCACCTATCAGGGGCTACACAAGAACACCCACAGCCACCATACTGGGGCATAGGAAGGCGCCAGCGTATTTCCTGCCCTCCAAAAGCTGAGGAATTGCCACAGTTCACACCCCCATCTGACCGCCAATTGATCAACCTCATTTAGTTCACTCTGCCCTGAGTAAGGACACTGCAGAAGATTGTTTTGCTCTCCTCAAAGTCACCTTTGTGAAACAGAACAATGCTTTTTAAAAATGTGAGCTTAAGAACCATTTTTCTTTATTATGTAAATGGCTGAAATGTCATCTTAAATGCACAGTTCTAGATTAAGGCTACAGTTTCTCAGATCTCCATTTTAAGCCCAAAACCAATGCCAATCTAGACATTACAAGGTTCCAACTGCAGAGAAACAACAGACAGACAGGATTTCTAAACAGCCCAACTGCCACCTATAAGCAGTTCCACTGTTGAGAGAGGAAATGCTGCAGAACAAGGGCTCTTCTAAGATAGACTTGCCCCTGTAGTGATTTGCAAGGTTTTGCCTTGGATAAACCCCTCAGAGAGAAACAAAAGCTTAAGAATTTAAATAGAAGGGTAGTGGCAGGAGTATTTCACACCCCACTGTAGCATGTTTAATCACACAGATAACAAAGCACCAGAGTTACTCACACAGGAGCACTCAGCTCCTTGCTCACTTACCCTGTTGGCTGTCACAGCGAGATTCTGCAGGTTTTGAAGAAGTCCAACGTCTGGAGGTATGCAAGTCAGGTTGTTGTGGCTGAGATCCAAGTACCGAAGTTTTCGGCAATAGAAGAGCTGGGTAGGGATCTTCTCTATCTTGTTCCGATTCAGGTAAAGGCGCTCTAAATTGGTTAGGTTGCCTATCTGCATGGGGATGTAGGCAATGTGGTTATACCACAATTTAAGGCAAGTGAGACGATGTAAGTGCTGGAAGCTGATGATCTCCTCAATGGTCTTTAGGTTATTGTCCTTCAGGTCTATCTCCTGCAGATTGTGGAGGCTAAAGATAGAGTGAGGAATGCGTTCCAAGTCACAACGGATCAGCTCAAGCTCTGTCAAGTTGACCATTTTCTTAAGGCTGTTGAGAACAATGAGCTTGGTGCCCTCATTGTTGATGGAAAGCTTCTGAAGATGTACACCAACATCTGTCACCACCTGTGGCAGCTTGGTGAGGTTACTCTTCAACCGTAACACCTTCAGCCTCTTCAGCTCCCGCAATCCATCTATCACAATGTACCGATTGTTTTCAGCACTCAGGTTCCCTGTCAGATGAAGCTCCTCCAGTGTCTTCAGGCTATAAATCCAAAGAGGAATCTCCTTGATGTCTGTGAACTTGATGTGGAGAGACTTCAAATTTTCCCTCAAGAAGGCAAGGGCTGGAGCCTCAATTTTGGCAGCTGTGTGGTAGAGCCACAGTTCCTTAAGGCTGGTGAGCTGAGCAATGCTTGGGGGAATAGTGACATCAGGGATAAGCTCCAGCTTCAAGACCTCCAGCTCAATGAGGTCAAAGACCGTGTCATGAATGCCACTCAACATGAAAAGATGCAGTTCCAGCTTATCCTGGGAGTTCTTGGTGATCCTCTGGCGCAGCTTCTCCAAAGTCCACTCATTGTTGAGGTTCAGCTGCCGCAGTTTGTTCTCACTCACCTCCGACAGAAAGACAGCAAAGCGCTTGGAGTACAGGGGGTCATACTGATCGATTAGATGGAGCATAAAAGCAAAGTCATTTTTCACATCAGGAATGTCACTGTAACTGCTCTCCTCTCGGATGGACTCAAAGGAATATTTCTTGAGTGATCGTCTCAGCATCCACCAGAGTGTGTACATGCAGATCAAGCCATAGAATATCACCAAACTGATGTAGAAAGATGCCAAGATTTTGAAGAGAGTAGCCAAAGGATGAGCACAGCGGTACATCCTGTAGCCAGTCAAGCTCTCAATGTCCACTTTGCAGTCAACATCAAACGTTATATTGTTGACGTAGTAAACAGTATAGCAGATTATCAGAATGAACTTGATCACTTTGATGATGGTCTGTCTCATGTACAGGCGATAAACTATATCTCCCTCTTCCACATGTGTGCGGAACTTTTTCACTTTCTCAAAAAGTGCTTTGGCCTGTTCTCCTTCCTTTTTGTCCAATACACCAGTCTCGGATCGGTCCACGATCCCTTGCTCAATTCGAGACTTTGTTCTCTGCAGCATGGGAACAGTGGCTTCCACATCCTCACTGACCGTGGAGGATTTCTTGTCCATGGAGCCATTCATTTTCCCAAATGCTGGCTTGGTATCACTCTCTTCCACCACTGTCTCAGATAATGCCCTCGTTGTCCATGGAGAGTCAAAACACTTAAGCAAAATAGACACAAAGTGCTCCAGCTTGGAGCTGGTCCTTGGGAATTTGAACCAGAAGTTGCTACAAGCCAGGAAGATCAGAGTATGCAGCAGCACCAGATAAGGAAAATACTTGGCAAACCAGTGAAGACGGTTCTCATAACACACCGCATCCACATAGTTATACTGGTGCCGGTCCAAATCGTATCGTATCCCCGTAGGTCCTGTATCAGTAGAGGGGACAAGACTAGTATTATAGTAGGTACGCTCTGGGGTTGTGGCTGTCCAACCTCGGACTGAGTCATTGCAAGAGTCTTTGGTAACCCATTTACAGGGCAAACAAATCATTTTGTCCTGGGTGACCTGAAGCGTCCCCCCAAACACGGCAATCATCAGCATCACTATGGAAATGTAGTCTGTGAAGACGTCCCACCATGGCTTCAGGATGCGGTATGCTGGCTGAGTGTCAGCAAAGTAGCGCAGTTCAGTGACTGGAATCATGATTCACCTGAAAGGAAAACAGAAGCAGGCATTACTACCTTAAACTGTTTTGTTCTGTTTTTCAGGAGGGCATAGAGAAACTTGTTAAGTGCTGGCACAGCAAGACTGGAATTAGTTGAGGTTCAATTTCAAGTCACTTAGAGACAAATAATGAGGCTTTCTGGGAGTGATTTGCTACAGCTGAGGCTGAAGTTAGTTTGTTGCTGTCTTCCCCCACAGATGCATTGTCGCAAAACATGGGAACTGGTACTTACCAGTAGCAGTCCGTGGCGCAAGACATTCACACTTAAACAAAGCTCACAGGACCGACTTAAACTAGCCTGCCAGACCAGCATGTGGAAGTTTACTGTTTCATCTAGGGATTTTATTTCAGGGATGAGGGAATTTGCCAGCACTGTCAGAAGAGAAAATCCAAGCACAGAGCATAGCTGTCATGAGTTTGTTACTGTTTTTACTGAGCTAGAAAATAGTAATTCTACATTTGTGTTGTTCTCAACCTGCAGGGGCAAGGACAAGGATTTACATATAACAGTTATATTTCCTAGAACCACTTCTTTGATACAACTTAACATCCTATTTACAAACCAAGCTGGAAAAGAGAACAAAGTTGCCTGATGTCATGGCTTTTCCCTCCACATAAGGAGTTTTGGCTTTCCCCCTCTGCATTAATTCTCCAAAGATCAGTTACTCGCCCTCTGATAGATTCAGTACCAAAATCCTCTAACAGCTGCTTTTTGTCTTCAGCAGCAGAGGAAGGGGGAAACATACTTAAAAGAATTCACTTCCCTGACCAACCACTCCCACCTAGAGTTCATCTCAGCTGGGATTTAAGTGTCACAAAGGAAATCAAACAGTTCTGGGAAGCAGAAGCCTTGTGGCAGTGCTTGTTCTGTCCTTCAGACTTCCAGATGAAGCTTCGAGCACATTCTTCAACAAGCCATAAAAAGCCCGTAAGCCTGACTGATCCATGGATAACTGAGCTCACAAAATTCCCCTGACAGGCAACACAAGCAAAGAACATGAAGTCACTGTAACTTGTTCTAATGACAGTAAAACAGCAGTAAAATCACACAATACTTGCCAGCAAAGTTCAGGAGTAGGACAAGCAAAAATCTTTCAGTCAATCTGAAACTCCCACAAATTCAATTGTAAAGGAGGAAGAGCAAAAATTCAGTTGTGTTTCCCCAACCCATCAGATAGGATTTGTACAGACAGTCCCACGACGTCCTGGGGGACCGCAGGGGCTCTATGTACCGCTGGCTGGGAGAAAGCTTGCTTTGACAAGGGGGTGCCCACACCACCTGCTTTCGTAGAATTAAAGTTTGTATTTAAAATGAACTTCCAGCACAGAACTGCAAGAGAATCCCTTCCTAATATGAGCTCAAAAAGCCCCACATCCCCTAGAGACACTAAATACAGAACTCTATTCCCTGGTTTGCTGCTTACAACAATAAATGGTAAGATGCCAGTTTTGACTTGGTGCTACTCGGGAAGGCTGCAAGCAACTAGAGGTGGTACACTGAAAGATGACAGCCAGCCCTGAAGAAGTGTTTGTCCTTCTGCCCATCCAGTTCCAATACTCCGTTAGTCCATCACAAAAAGACAGACTGGGGTAGCTACATGCAATTTTTTATTATTAATTTTTTTTTTGGAGTGGGGAATTTTAAGAGGCAAAATGGCAATATCTGTTCAATAAAACAAGGCGGAGCAGCAAATCTAAGAATTTACCAACCAGTAAACTCATGCAATCCTGGCACAGGATGCTGAAACAAGGGATGAAAGTAACCATATACAGCACTGTCAGAAGAAACTACCGTCCTGTCTGGCTGCAGAGCACTAGCAAAGCAGCTGGCATGCCTCTGCAGAATGGACTGCACTGAGCAGATCAGGGCAAGACGATGACACATTCACAGGGAGAGGGAAGAACAGACAGAACTGAACATCTTCTGAACAGCACCTGAGCAGCTGGAATAAGAGGAGTGACAAGGTGTGCAGAGTCCCCCTTCCACTCCTGTTGTGCCTTGCTGCAAGGCCCTGGGCAAGGCACTTCAGCCCTGCCTCGGCTTCCTCCTCCGAGTACGTCCACCTCAGGGAGAAGAGAGTCCATCTGCAAGATACGTTTGAGAAGAGCTGTCTGTGCATACTACAGGAACACTAATTCCAGGATAAAACAGGGTACAGAAGTTTTCTTTGCACCCCCTGCGCTCCAGAACACCTCAAATGAAGCCAGCAGATAAACAGCTCCCTGAATCACAGCTCCTGGTGATGTCTCCCCAGCTTGTCTACATAGACAATTCAAAATCAAAACCCATTTTATATCTGTATTTTCTGCAGGAAAATCTACAGCTATGACAGAGGCCTTCAATCACTACTGAGAGAAGCCTTATACTATGCCAGGGCCGTTCCCTCCCTTCTCAGAAGCACCAGAACAGGATACATACCTAATTTTTTCTTTTTTGTTGAGCTGGTGTTTTTTGTTAGGATTCCTACTACACCAGGCTAAGAAAGCAAGACAATTCATAGAGAAATTAGAAAGTTCAGCTACCAAAAGATTTGAGAGCCAGGGCAGGACTGCTGACACACTGCCGGACCACAAGGAAAAACAAACAAGACGGGAACACACATGCCCTCTGTCACCCTCTGCATCCCTCCCACCATAATCAGACTGAGGGAGCGGAGTCCTGCACTTCTACAGTCCACATAAGAGAAAGCCTGGAAAAACTTTGCAAAAGGGGAACATCAAAATGTACTGCAGTTATCTGCTGGAACAGTTAGCTTTGACATGGCTTAGCTTCTCAAATCCAAATATGCCCGGAGGTGAGTACAGTCCATGTAAGAGAAAGCCTGGAAAACTTTGCAAAAGGGGAACATCAAAATGTACTGCAGTTATCTGCTGGAACAGTTAGCTTTGACATGGCTTAGCTTCTCAAATCCAAATATGCCCGGAGGTGAGCACAGCTTCAGCTCTACCAGACACAAACTTTCTACTCAACACAGAGTAAAAATACATATTTCTCTCTTTCCTTCTCTTACCTAGATACTCCTCCCTCCAGTGCTTCATCACTCTTAGTAGGGAAGCTTTTGCAGGAATTGTCAGGCCCCTCACAGTTCCCGCTTCTCCTCAAAGATCCTTCCTCCTCCCTCCAGTGCTTCGTCGCTCTTAGTAGGGAAGCTTTCGCAGGAATTGTCAGGCCCCTCACAGTTCCCCCTAGCAGGCTTGTGAAATAGGGGAGATCTCTTTTCAGGAATCAGGGTCTCATGGCTAAGGCATTTCCAGACTTGAGCTGTAGTGCTGGATTGCTAATTTTGCCCAATTCAGGAAATGCCTAATTACTTCTCACAAGAAATTAACCTTATGCTCACTTTGATTTCTATCTCAAGACAGCCAGGAAAGAAACTAACAAGAAATTAGCACAGCAGGGTCCCTAATTCTGTTTACCAGTTATGTGGGGTAGGAAATCTCCTTTTACACTGTGCACCTACAGACAGAAAAAAATCATCCAAGTGTCCCATGAGAGTCTATTACTGTTCAGTGTCAGCAATTAAACCACAGCAGGGTGGAGCAGGAAATCTCCCAACCTTCCTGTAACAATGGCAGAGTCACTGGAGGAAGAAAGGACATTCACAGCAAGTCCCCCCTCCTCCTGGCAGCAGTGGAGACCCCGTTCAAGTCCCAGAACAATAAAACTAGAGGCCACCTTTACAGAAGCTGGAATTTGCCATGTCTTATCTAATCTTACTCTCAGCATCTGCAGTAAAAGGGAAAACTGCCCAGCAGAAACTTCAGGAAGTAGGTGGGAAAGTTGCAGCCCTCCTCACCCAGATTTCCCATGCGTGCAATCCATTTCTAGCTCCTGGAAGACTGACAACTGTTCTGCAACAAGATGCAAATGTCATCTTTATTTTGTGGACTCAATTTTGTAATCATTTTAGAATGCCATTCTTCTTGCCACACTCTCCTTTCTGGGCTTGAGCAAGCACTTTTGCTGCTGGGGATGATGACAAGGGCAGATTAACTCTGAGAAGTCAGGTTCTCAGGGGCCACCTCTGTCACTTGACGCTCCCCTGCGCAGTAAGATTCTTCCCACAGGGACCGTGATTCCAGCCACTGTATAGAAACCAAGCAGGTAGCTGACACACAGACTCTCACAACAAGTACCCAGGCAGCAGAACAGACTTATTTAGACAGAGGATATTATTCTGGCATAAGACTTGAAACAATCCTTGCATGAAGACAGCTGGCCAAAAATAAAGTTACCTCCCTTGCGACCAAGACCAGACCAAGCTCCACAGGACCAGGCAGACTGCTGAGATTTCAAGCTTCTGGTCTTTTCAGGAGTTGCACTCCAGCGTGGTTTGT